GGGAAAGGCGGGCCACGGGGGGCAAAACCCCGAAGGCGTCGCAGGTCTGCAAACCCTAAACCCTAAACCCTAAACCCTAAACCCGAGCCGGACCAAACCCCAGCCGCTCTACTGCTGCCACTTTGCTGGTGCTGGTCATAAACCCTCCTAAACCCTCATAAACCCTTCTAAACCCTTCTAAGCCCTCATAAACCCTTCTAAACCCTCATAAACCCTCCTAAACCCTTCTAAACCCTTCTAAACCCTCATAAACCCTCCTAAACCCTTCTAAACCCTTCTAAACCCTCATAAACCCTTCTAAACCCTCATAAACCCTTCTAAACCCTCATAAACCCTTCTAAACCCTCATAAACCCTTCTAAACCCTCACAAACCCTTCTAAACCCTCGTAAACCCTCGTAAACCCTCCTTTCACCTTGCAAACCCTAAACCCTTCTAAACCCTCGTAAACCCTCGTAAACCCTCCTTCCACCTTGCAAACCCTAAAACGCTGAATATTGCTTCTCCAGCTGTGAAGCTTCACCCACCTCCACCCCGTCCCTTGAACCCTCGCAAACCCTCGTAAACCCTCTTAAACCCTAATAAACCCTCGTAAACCCTCGTAAACCCTTCTAAACCCTCGTAAACCCTCATAAACCCTCCTCCCACCCTAAAAGCCCTAAAACATTAAATATCGCTCCTCCCGGCCTGAAGCTTTGCCCACCGCCCCTCTCCCCGTCCCTCGTAAACCCTCGTAAACCCTCGCAAACCCTCGCAAACCCTCGCAAACCCTCGCAAACCCTCTAAACCCTCATAAACCCTCTTAAACCCTCCTCCCACCCTAAAACCTCTAAAACCCTAAATATCGCTCCTCCCGCCCTCAAACTCCGCCCACCTCGCCATCCCACCCATCCGTCGTAAACCCTCGTAAACCCTCATAAACCCTCGCAAACCCTCGTAAACCCTCATAAACCCTCATAAACCCTCATCCCACCCTAAAACCCGTAAAACCCTAAATATCGCTCCTCCCGGGCTGAAAATTTGCTCACCGCCCCTCTCTCCCCGTCCCTCCTAAACCCTCACTCCTAAACCCTCGTAAACCCTCAAAAAACCGTCTCAAACCCTCGTAAACCCTCATAAACCCTCCTCCCACCCTAAAACCCGTAAAACCCTTAATATCGCTCCTCCTGCCCTGAAACTCCGCCCACCTCGCCATCACCCCCCTAAACCCTCGTAAACCCTCTTAAACCCTCGTAAATCCTCTTAAACCCCCTTAAACCCTCGTAAACCCTCGCACCCCATAAACCCCCCTGTGAACCCCTCGCAAACCCTCACGCGCCTGCTTCCTCCTTAAAACCCCCCGAAATCCGAAAATCGCTCGCAGCTGATTACGCGTTGTCGCCGCCGTTCAGCGCTCTCTAGGGTTTAGGGTTTAGGGTTTAGGGTTTGCTGACGAGGAGAATAATATTGGAAGGATGCGAGTCAACCACCGCGGGAATCCTGGCATTCGGCACGAAACTCAGCGGATAGGCACAACGCGTGTTCTCCGTTATCGAACAATCCGCGAAGTCCACCGCGCGACTCTCCGCAGCCAATTTCACATTTTCCAAAACCGCGCCGAACTTTATCGCCGCAAAAACCTCCGGCTCGGCCGCGGGCTGCAAATCCTTGCACTTGGCGTAACAGCCGCCCTCGATGTTGAAGACGCCCGCGGGGGACCAGACGTGCTCATCATCTCCTAGTAAATCTCGGCCTCGAGAAGTGGACTATAAACAAAACCCTAAACCCTAAACCCTAAACCCTAAACCCTAAACCCTAAACCCTAAACCCTAAAC